CTTAAAGCCAGACGATCATTCCATCATTAACAGCCGTAAAATAGCAAGCCTCGGTATTTTTTTTTTCAAACACGGTCTTTTCTGTTAAACCGGCTACGTCAATAAACGCAACAAAAATATAACCGCCCGTGCTAGAGTTACTTTTCAGATTTTTTTCAATGCCAACATGTGGGCCGCTAACGGGTTGGGACGCGAGAATGCGAACAGGAAGACTCACGCATGAGCTACGCGAGCGCCGGGGCAGCATCCAAAACTGAACGCCGTTGCAGGAGAACCAATTCGAATCGACGAGCCAACGCGACGTTGCGCGCCTTTTGCTGCAGGCGATTCTCGTTGAACTGCGGGGGAGGGAACGTTCACGCCACCTCGCTGTGGACACCGACCCCCCCCCCCTCCAAACCGAAACGCGGCACACACACCAGAAGCCAGGTCCTTATTACGGAAGATGCAGTGTAATGGTCTTTGCACTAATTGGCTTTGTGCGCTGCACCAAACTCCTGCCCACTCGCAGCACATTAAATTGACGCGCCACAAGCACTTGCGTGAGCAAAGAATAAATTACCTTAATGTATCGCTCACGCACGCACGCCATACATCACCCCCCCCCCCCCACAAATGTATCAAAATGTAAATCTTAATTTTCTTAAACAAGCCATTTATACTCATTATCCGAGCGTATAACAGTTGCTCACTCGGCCAAATTTAACAAACCGTTAGTTGGTTTTCGTTGCGGAAAGTCAACAGCGGCTGTCCTGTCGAAGGACTAGACCCCAGCATGGGCTTGTGGGACTTGTTACCATCGGCAATGGGCTGCCCAATGGGCACAAGCTGCACACATTAGAGCCCGAAGACAAGCTAACATCCATGATGTGTCCACGTAATAATAATAAAATGATGTTGGCATGCCAGCCTTCATCAAGACTCATTCAATAGATTGGCATTGCTCGGCTTGTTAGGCGAGGAAATACAATAAGCTGCAAGGGTCTAACATGAGTAAGACTTGAGACTCCAAGCGGGCACCTTACGACGGGTCACCTGACCACATGACCTTCCAGCTGCGAATTCTTTAATTGGAACACGAAACCAAGGCCGTCAGCTGGGGCACCCTGCCAATCACCCAAATTACATCCGGCTCGAAGGCTTAAAAAAAAAGCTCCCAAGGTGGAACAAATTAGACAAAGCCCTTTTGCAGGTGAGTCCATCAACCACGGAGCACAAATGCTCTTCTGCACACGAGCTCTACCCTATCCCTTCTCTACCCAGGAGTCTACTACGTCCCTTCTCCGTCTTTCCTAATAATATATAAATATATACATCTCTTTTTCCCGGGTCACATTCGTCTATGTCTCTGTTCAGCGTCTTGTGCTGTGGTCACATTTCTATTCTCCATAAATCCAAAACGTACTGTATTGGCAGAAGGCATGGCAGCCTCATGACGAATTAATTAAAATACCGAGGTAAATCAATTGAGCTTCCATTCTATATTTAACGAGGTGAGGGATTATTGACAAAAATTACTCCTCTACCGAGAAAGCCATGTAGAGTGTGGTTGGAGCGATCGACTCTTGAGTTGAAGATCGCGAGTTCAAATCCTAACCAGGGGTGATTTTCAGCTCACCACTTCTCCATGATCATTAAATAAAGTACCAATTAGTGAAAGTTAGGAAGTTGATGTCCTTCAGAAAATAAACTGTCGATGTCACATAAATGAAGTTTCCTTGAAGCTATTCCACAATGCAAAGTGGCCAGGAGAATAATGGATTATTGAGTATCTGTACAGCGTTTTGAGGATCAGTCCCCTCATTAGTTTGTTTATAGTTTCATTTTTGGCACAGGTAAAAACCCATTGGAAAATAAACGGTAATTATTTATGGGGAGCTGGTTACACAATAGAAACCTGGTTACAGCAAAAAAGCATTAACCTAAAAACGACTGTGCGTGGACAAGTTCCGAATGGCAAGGACGTGCATCAACATCACGGTACAACCAGCAAAGAATACAACAAAGGCTGGTAGGACGCATCACGTACAGAAAATATTGGGTGCAAAACAGCAGAGGTTGGTAATATTGTAACAAAAAAAAGCGTTTATAACTTTAAGTCTGCAAAGCAGAGCTGCCGACTGCAGGTAAATGTGAAAGGAATTCGGAGGTACAAAAGTGATTTCCAGTAGACGACAAGGATGGTGAGGTTTTGATCCCAAAAACAATTCTCGGTTTTTCCAGAGATTAGGAAGCCACCATACAGAAGGAATTTAAACACAGTTTGGTTCTCACATTCGTACGAACGCATGTATGTACGTGGATTTATCTGGATAAGGGGGGGCGCGATAGTGTAACAATTATTTCGCTGCGCTACGAACCCGGCTCACGGCCAAACACCGGTGACGATTATCTGAACCGGTTCTGGGCCTCCCCGAGGTCGACTCAGCCTCAAATGAGTGCCTGGTGCGGTGTGTAAACATCGCACTAGGTACTCATTTGAGTGTAAACATCGCCACTGGGGAGACAAAGGCGATGGGGCGTGTTGCTGGCCACCCACCCCCTCGTGTGCCGTGCCGGCCTTCATATGGTGCAAGCAAACGGCACTTGCCCCAAGAGTCTGTTAAGGCTAAATGGGGGATCTTTGTTTTTTTATATCTGGATACTCATTTCCCCCTCACACCAAATACTCGTAAATATATTTGGACAAATATCCCACTGAAGGTACCTCCTGAAAACGTGTCTTGAGACTCATTGGGCATTTCCTGAATAAAAGAACACGAGCTATTGTTGGGCATCTCTTTTCTCGCCAAGGAGCATAAAAACATCAACACGCAAACTCCGGTCATCCTCGCAGCACCGGCTTTTGACTAACCATCGAACAAAGACGGTCACAGCATCACGCGCTTTCAGATGCGCTTCTGCAGCCGTCTGGGACGCAAATTCTTTCCGATATTGGGAAGCACCTGGAGAAATGCTTTAAATTTTCGATAGACAAACGCATTTCTTTAGAACTGCTTATTGTATTCTTGGTTATTTCGGTAAAGTCACGTAGAAGGGAAACAATAAAATAATAAAAATTTAAAACAATAAAATTCTCACGACGTTTCGACTGCAACACAAGCAATCATCATCATCATCAGGTGTGAAAACCACAACAAGAAAATTTTCTTGTTGTGGTTGCAGTCGAAACGTCGTGAGAATTTTATTGTTTTAAATTTTTATTATTTTATTGTTTCCCTTCTACGTGACTTTACCGAAATAACAAAGAATATGAATCCCTGCAGTCACGAAAGCTTTAAATCAACAATTTAACTGCTTATTGTGTCTGGTTTGTTGTCCTTCCCCCGCACCTCCGATTAGCACGGTTGGCTACGTACGGTGCAAAAGAAGTTCAACGGACATACTTAGGGAGGTTCATCTCACTCCCAACGCCACAAACTTTACGGGATGACAGCGGTGTGGGTGGATGATACTGAAACAGAGTAGACAATGTCCACCTGTTCAGCAGCTCGATCTGCCCGCATAAAATAAAGAGGGATGTTGTTTTCCGGAGTATTTATTCTCACAAGCACGAATTTATTGCATATAATCAGCGATAAATACGGAGAATTATTAACGAAAAGACACGTAATGACCTTTAAACATTCCTTCTCAAGCCGAATCTAAAAAAAACCCCGCAGTTTCGTAAGAAAATTGTCGTTGAAATTGCTGGCAACGTTCAGATTTTGGGAGAAGGGCAAAGAAAAGGACACAGCTGTACATGACAGATCACGGCATTACATAACATCGACTTTAAGAGTCGTCAACGCACCTCATAATTATTTGTGGATGGGTTTTTAAAGTAAAAATAAAAAAAAAATTCGGCGATTATTTTCAATAAATCTGTACTTCCAAAAATAGAGACACCCGGGAAAACAACATCACTCAAGACATTAAATGCAACCACCCACAACGCTGAAACTCTACATTGCTCTGCCTACGACAGATCGCTTCACATGACACCGCCGTTATTACTCCTTCGATACGCTCTAGTGGCAGTTGGACTCGGCCTCATCGTCGTTCCAGAGTTGATACAATGCATACCACTTTGTGGGTACATCAACAGTGGTCGTCCTATGGATATACTCACCCCCACCATAGGAACGTGGAATTTCCAGCACTGGCTCAAGAGTTATGATCTGGGAGAAGAGCACCTCCGCGATGTTCATTTGAGCAGGAGGTCACCTTGACTTGACTTTGGGCAGGACTACGACGGGCGTGGCGAGGACGCAATGTGGCCCGGGAGGTTGAATTTGCATCCGTCACAATGCAAGTAGAGTACTTTATTATATTAAAAAAAGCAATCCAACACTCCGCTCTACAGAGAGGGTGGTTAATGACCCTACGTGCCCTCTCTATGTTGAACCCCTTTCGCACCGTATATAATCAACCGTGCTAATCGGTGGTGCGGGGGAAGGACAAACTAAAACGCAAAGAAAGTTCTAAAGAAATGAGTTTTCAATATAGATTTCAAAGTGCAGAGCTCCCAGTGGCTTCCTAACATCGGAAGGAAGAACATTCCAGACGGCCGCAGTGATGCGGGCAACCGTATTTGTTCAATGGCTCGTCAAAAGCCGCTGCCGCGAAAATGACTGAAGTTTGCGTGATGCTTTATGCTCCTTGACGAGATCAGCGAGGGACCGTGGTTCATTTGTGGCAAGCACTTTGTGTGTAATGAGTGCGACCTCAATGTATTCGGAAACCAATGCAGCTCGGCGAACACTGAACGGACACGGTCGGATCTTGCAGTACCCGTCACGGCACGAGCCAGAGAATTTTGTACACGCCGCAGCCTGGTAATGTTTTGGGGCCACCGTGTTGGTTACGTCACCACTCAATAGCGGCCGAATGTGTCGTAGAGCCCTGGTGTTAAAGTTGCGGGACCCGACCTCTCAACTGTGTTCGACAAAGGAGGGAAATTCGAGCGGACGCCGTAAGACTGGGCGGAGGTTCTGTGGGTGGGGGTGGCGTCGACTCACCCGTCCAGGCCGAGCTTCCCTTGCGTTTCTTCATGGACTTCTGCAGGATCTCCCGCATCGACACGTTGAGGTTATCCACTTGGATGAGAGAGAACCCACTGTGGGGTACATTGCTGCACATGCATCGTTCGCAAACCAGTAGGGGGGGGGGGGGGCGGGCAGAGAGACGGAAAGACGGAGGTTAGATGTTCGATGGTAAGTCGGGAAGTGACGAAACAAAAGGGGGAACTTTAGTTTGGTGTTTAAAGGCCTTTAAACCAATACCCTTCAAGTGTATCTTACACACCACGAGATGTGACGTATACCACGCATACACTCACATCCACGGGCAGGGCTGAGCAGCACACCAACTTCATAATGTGCATGTAACACCCGCCTGCTCTGCAGTACAGCAAGTAGGCTTCGAATACGAATGCAGGTTTTTTTGTTCGTGTTATCACCTTCTATAAGCACTCGTGTGCACGTGTTTGCTCCAAGCACATAACAAGCCAATCAGCTGTGCAACTTAAGACAGCGTTGTGGATGGTTCTGTAAGGTTACCCCCCTTGGTCCTTTGAAGGTCTGTAATGTCAAATTTCATTTTCAAAATGTCATGTTTGCTTCACGAAGCAATACACATTACAATATAATTCACATGGATTCTAAATGTGGCCACAATTAGGCAAGCGTCTGAAATGGAAACAAACGCTCCCGCGGAGGTCACGACACACAAGTTGCGTGCACTCGACGTATAAACGGCGAGACGAGAACGATGCGCATGTCGGAAAGAAAATACTTTTTAGCGGGCAGTTCTAACGCCGTAGCAAAAGCAGCCCGTTTTCATTCCAGCCGAATCGCAAGCCGCCAAGGGCAGCCGCATTTCACTTGCGTGTCAATAGGTCCACGATAAGTTACGTGCACAGCAAGAAGACTTTAAAGCAACGGCAGCAGAAAAACAACAACAAAACACAAGCAAAATATAAATAAACACGCGGGTGTCGGAAGGCCAACAACAATCTGCTGCTGGCGGCCAAAGTGGTGACCGATCTCTGGCACGGAGCCCCGGCGTAATGCGCTCCCTGCTCGAAGGCCGTAATCCAATTCTCTTTGCCTCCGCGGGAGCCCAAAACCTGCTTCCTGGTCCCTCGGGATGGGCATTCATTTGTAGCCGTCGCAGGGCCGCGGTGCCTGGCCCGCGGTGTGCGTCACAACGCGGTCACCTTTGCCCGGCTGATTAAACCCGGGAGGAGCTCAGCCATAACGCACCTCTCTTTCCATATTTTTTAGATTTTTGTTGATTTTTTTTTTATCCCGCGCCTTCCCCCCCTCCGCCCACACTGAAATATATTAAAAACCAAGCGGCGTTGCCGTGGTCTGTGGTTAACAGTTACAATTTCGGTGGCGGGGGCGACTCGGCCACATCACAAATGTCACTGACAAAAAGAGCGGTGCCTTGTGGAAAGGCGAGTGACCACCCTCATCCTTAAAAGGTGCTTTAACCCCCTGCCATACGAATGGGGAATTTCCACCGCTGGCTCAGAGCCACCAATGGATGGTGGGGGATGAGCGCTGCTGCCCCATGCTCGTCCGAGCGAGTACTTTGACCTTGACGGTGTGAGCAGCACTGAAATGTGAAACGCAGAGATCGCACAGAGCGCGCTCCAGAGCTGTGCATATTCTCCGGTGTCGAACATAACCACAGCGAACGGCCTCAACGCGGCGACTGCGTTGTTCATGACACAGCAGCAGTCTGCCCATACCATTGTCCGAGAGTTCCAGCAGCAATACGACGGTGCTCGCACAATCATAATCGGCCTATAATATGCCAACTAAATAAAAGAGAATCCTTTGGTTGGCAGTTTGGAATGAATGCATCAAACATTTTTCTACAGTGAACGCACGTCGCTTTAAATGGTGAAATGAAGATTTAAAAAAAAAATTATATTTACCTTGAGCGTATTTGCGCACCAATGTTGCAAGTTCCAAGAAAAATGAGAAAGTAGAATTGTAGATTTTCTCAAGATCACAAGTTTAAAAAAAAACGCAAGCGCGCACGCACACCGATGCACACGCCTGGAGTTCAATAGTTTAAGAGTCGAGAAGCAAAAATGAATAGGGGGGGCCATGAGTAGTATGTGAATGCGCGAATGAGTGACGGCCTGTCACAACAGAGACGGCTGAATGAGCTTGTGTCGACCTTGGAAGCAAGAGATTTGTTAACTCCGGAATTAAGAAGAATGACCAGGGAAGGAGCCAGAGCAGCGCGGGAATGGTGATGAGATGGTACAGTTAAACACGGCGACACAGACACCGACCGCTTGGGTTTTCGGGCTGAATCTGATCTCAGCGAAAGCTGCGCCGGGTTGTCTTCCCCTCCCCACCCCCCCCCCCCCCCAAGCCGCTTTTTGTAATCCCACGAGCATATTGCTCATCCGTTCATGAACATCTACAGCTCACTGTCAATCCACTGCTGGATGAGGGCCCCCCCCTACACCGTGCATGTAGCTGGGAGGTTACTTCAACATACGTCACCATGCTGGTCGGTGTGGGTTGGTAAAATGCAGTGAGGGAGTATAAATGTGGGGAGCATAGAAGTAGAGTACAACAATTTATTTCGCCGTACTGCCCACCACGTAGTCCTGCAGGCTATAATACCTGTTATGCATGGTGGTCGCTCTTCCAAGCACATATCCAGCCCCATCCTGCTTAGCTTCCGTGATTGAACGAGATTGGAAGCGTGCCGTTTGATTTGGCCATTAACATGTTGCTTATTACGACACTTTAACTTTGCCTTTGTGCCAAACTTTAGCAGATGTGCTCCATATCAGTTTCACAACCAGCGGCATTTTCCTACGAGCATCCTCCGAGAGCAACACTGTGGAATGAGCCACAACAGCATCGCTCCTGTAGCCTGCTCTGCATCTGCTTCACTGCTGTTTGGGCCATGATAACATCCTGATCTTGCCCTGCAGAGGTCACCCTCTTAACAGAACCAAACGCAATGTGCAAGTGTGTGTGTGGACATGAGTATGTTGATGCATGCGTGTTGTGCGTGATTTTGCAAGCATCTTTGTATTTGTGTACGAGTGCGTGGGTGTGTGTGTGTGTGTGGCCTCGAGGTACACCTATCACGGCACAAGCGCTGCGGTGACGTCACTACCACTTAGTGGTGAATGGCGGTTGTTGTGCGAGGGGGAAGCGGGAGTGAAGTGGTCAGCATGCTGCACTACAAACCGCAATGGGCCAACATCATTAGGTCAATTCAGTCTTAAATGAATACCTGGTGCGGCGTGTAACATATCAAGCGCTGGGAAGACAAGTGGCCACGCGTGGTGCTGGCCACCCAACACCCTCATGCGTCGGGCCGGCTTTCATATAGGTGCTCGCTAACAGCACTTACCACAAGAGTCTGTTAAAGGCTATACAGGAGTCTGAGTATAAGCGTGTTTGTGCGTGCGTGTGAATGTGTGCGAGCATGGGGAGCGGTAGTGTAGCAGCTAGCGCTGCACCCGAGTTCGAATCCTACTCACGGCCACCGGCAGCGACGATTATCTGAGCCGGTCCTGGGCCTCCCCCCCCCAAGGTCGACTCAGCCTCAAATGAGTACCTGGTGCGGTGTGTAAACAATCGGCTTTGGGGAGACAACGGCGGCCGGGCAGGGGCGAGCGTGACCACGTGTGTGAATGCGTCCGGTAACAAGTGCACGTGGCGGGCCACCGGGCGCGCGGACGTACATTTTGACGAAGAGCGACTGCTTGTTCGCTTGCTCGAGCGCCGTATACTTCTCCACCAGCGCCAGCGTGCTGAAGCCGAACTTGTGGATCGGTTCGGTGGCGTCGAGCGGAGGAAAGTCGGCGTCCACCTCCCCGTCGTCCTCGGCGATGTGCAGGCAGTAGGTCTCCATGCTATTTCTGACGGGCACGCCACACACAGACACGCGCGCACAAGGACACACGCCACCGTTCAGCACTGCACACAGGTCGTTAGGGAAGGGGGGCAACACAGAGCGGTTAGCGAGCACGGACTAATAGCGGCACGCTATGCGAGCGTGTTTGGACTCATACAAAGTTCCCCCCCCTGTATAGCCCTTACAAACTTTTCGGGCAAGTGCTGTAAAGCACAGCAACCTACGAAGGCTGGCACGGCACACGAGGGGGTGGAAGGCCAGCACCACGATGGACCGCCTTTGTCTCCCCAGTGGTGATGTTTTAAACATCGCACCAGGTACTTATTCGAGGTGGAGTCGACCTAGAGGAGGCCCAGCACCGATTCAGATAACCGTCACTGGTGTTGGTGGCCGTGACCGGGAATCCAACTCGGGTCGCTCATGGCGCAGCGCGATAGCCGCTACACAACCGCTATCCAGTCGCATGCATACACAAAGATCCCCCGTATAGCCGGAACAGACTGTTGGGACAAGTGCTGTTAGCGAGCACCTATGCAGACCGGCACAGCACACAAGGGGGTGGGTGGCCAGCACCATGCCCGGCCACCTTTGTCTCCCAAGTGGCGATGTTTACACACCACACCAGGTACTCATTAGAAGCCGAGTCGACCTAGGGGAGCCCCAGGACCGGTTCAAATAATCGTCACTGGTGTTGGCCATGAGCGGGAATCAATCCCGGGTCACCAGGTTCGTAGCGCAGCGCACTAACCACTACTCCCCACATTAGGTCTACGTGGAATGGAGGAGTCTCAATGGCTACTAGCAGGTCTCATGAGAGATAATATTTATGGGTTAACATAAGCGGGTTAATAAACAAAACAGCTAAACAAAAACACGCACACGCCGGCACAAAAAAAATCCTCCAGTGGCGGCAATGTTCACACACACCACCTGTTGAAGGCCGGGTCACCTATGACAGGTCCGGACAGTGCTTGTCATTGATGCACATGGCTGGGAATCAAACCCAGGTTTTCTTTCAAAGCAGTGCAGGGCGCAAACTGCAGCACTGTGGCTTCCCACGAGAGAGTGCGAGCGCGCGCGTGCACCACGTGGCAGAGGGCTGCGACCGTCATTAACAAGCGCGATTTGTTTTGTTTAGGAAACTTCCGGGTGCTCCACTCTATATTTATACCTTTGAATTTTCAATGGATGTCTCCCAGATCACCCTCTTGAGATATTCTGTTTCAGTTGGCTCCCATTCTGGCTCCCAAGAAAGGAATTCATTGACAAGGGTGGACCAGAGTGACGAGCCCAAGAAAGCGTCGACATCAACTCCATGCTTCAAACTCTACATGCTTAAACTGGCAAGTGCTAGCCTCCCCTTTGGTGGCCCCGAGATAATTCCACATTACTATGGCGGGAACCTGCGTTATCTGCAGAGAAACACTTGATACAAACGTCGCGTTATCATACATAATAGAAAAAAAACATCCTTTTCGTGCCGAGTTTTATTTGCGTAAAGCGGCATTAGGAAACTTCTGTTTCAAAGCTGCGTAACATGATCAATAGATCGGGTAAGTGACTGCATTAGTCATTAAGAGCTGCTTGGCTGCTATCTGCAAGGCCACCCATCATGGAAAGAGAACGCAAGTGTCTGCCGCAAGAGTAGCTGCTAGGGGTATGAGCACACGCAGGGTCACACGCACACACACACACGCGCACAAACACAAAGATCCCCCGAATAGCCTTCAACGGATTGTTGGGACACGTGCTATTAGCGAGTAGCACCTATGAAGGCCGGAATGGTACATGAGGGGGGTGTGGGTGGCCAGCACCATGCCCGACCGCCTTTGTCTCCCCAGTGACGACGTTTACACATCGCACAAGGTACTCGTTTGAGGCCGAGTCGACGTAGGGGAGGCCCAGGACCGGTTTAGATAATAGTCACGGATGTCGGTCGCTACACTACCGCTCCCCCGGAGACACACGCACGCACGAACGCGCACACCCAAATTCAACCAAACTGATGGTAAACTATTTATGTGGCGCTGCTATGTTGGCAGTGGTGCACAAGCACAAATAATAAACACCGCACATTCATCAATGACAGTGCCGTGAAAGGAACACGATATCACGGGGGAACATTTTGGGCAACAGCTCTTATTAATATCGCACATGTGCTATAAAGGAGGGACCCAGTGGCCAAATTGTCTCCGATTAAATATTTTCGCTCATCCTTTTCGCGGCAGCGTTATTGTCAAGCCAGTGCCAGCGGTAGGTCTCTGCCTCTTCCTGCGACAGACGCGCGGGCGTGCCCAGACAGCGGCGCAAAATTTGGCGGCTGCACAAATCTGCTCGCGGCTTCATCAGCGCCCAATCTCGCTGGGTGGCGCGGCAGCCAGAGTGCAACCTGGGGGGAAGTAACGCGGGGAGGGGGTGGGGCCACGCAACCGCGTAGCACGGTAGCCGCTTTGCACGGGGGGGGGAGGGGGGGGTTGGCGGATGGATCGCTCAGATGCGGAGTCATCCAAGATTGCTGGCAGGAGGCCGCGAGCAAGGTGCTTGACAGGGTATCGGGTGCGCAGATGCATTTTGTTCAATCGTGAAGGGTCACTGCTCAAAACGTCACCTATGGTTTATATATTTTTATTATAAGGCCACAGTCTTATTGATGAATGCGTTACGTTTTTTTTATTTTGCTAACTGTGCTTGTGCGTGCCACTGCCAACGCAGCAGGAGCTGCATCGCCAAGTAATGTCGGTTAAATAGGAAACTATCAAGTGCTCAAATAAACAAGGGAAATGAGTGTGACCTGATCACACATTCGTTCAGCAACCGAAGGCCAATGCAGCTCAGCGAGCAACGGACAAACATGGTCAGATACTGGAAGAGCAACTTCACAACAACTGTGGGATCTGCTAGAGGAGAAGGTGGCTTCGGCGAGGCGTGGTGCTAACGGGGGGCAGGGGGGGGGGGAGATGTCCATGATGATGTTAACCTTGACAGATTAGGCAATGTGCAACGCCATTCTGAGGTTTTGGTTTTGGGCAAATTTTCCTTTAAAACAACCATACCAGGGGTGATCTCAGCATGGCCGCCTGGGCCGGCAATCCCGCGTCGCATCAAACGGCCGTAAATCACTCGACATTATCAAGCCAAACGCCGCTTGCTTTCCCTTAACACAGTCGAGAAGAGTTATCTGCGAAAGTCTCGAGGCCTTGTATAACGTCTATCCGACCGCAGTTCAAACTACAACACCAAAAGAAAAGTTACATTTGAGCAAACAATGGGGGGGGGGGGGGGGGGGGGGGGGGAGGGAACCCCCAGAACAAAGTCTGTGTTAGCGGGCGAGATATGAGAGCGGGCGGGAGACCACAACATTCTACAGAAGCCGAGAGTGCGGTCGTTTTGAACTGCGGCCTACCGTTAAATGAATCATTTGTCCCAGCGCAATCGATGAAATAAAAATGTCCCGATTAATTTATTGTGTGTGCATAGCACCCTGCATGCAACCCACGGTCTCTGCAGCTGGCTCTACACATTAGCTGGTATTGCCTGCATTAATGATTATAACCCATAGACCAGAGGTTATTGCGTGCGTGTCATGGGGGAGGGGCTGCTATAGGGTCGTGGTTTGAGTCGCTGTGCTACGATTCCTGCCCGTGGATAACATTTCTTTGGTATTCCTGGTACCTGAAGCTGCCCTGGGCCTGCCTTAAGTTGACTCGACATAAAGCGAGCACCTCGTGTGGGTGTGCTAATCTAAAAACCGGGGAGGCAAAGCCAGACAGACCTGATGCTCTTCCACCCCCCCCTTCATACCTCGCCAGCCTTCGTAAAGTGCTCACAAATAGTACTTACCCCTAAAATCTATGTAACTAAACAGGGAATCTGTTTATTATGTGACATCTGGCAGCAGCTGCCTTCTATTGACAAGAGGTGGCAGAGGAGCAATGCTCAATAACAAATAGCTATATTATTGTGTTATTTTATTTTATCTATTTATTATTTTATTCTCATTCTACGTGACTTTACCGAAAGAACCAAAGAAGATAGCTCAGTGGGCTTTACCTGATAAAATTGCATTTTGGTTTTAGTAAATTGTGATTTTCTTTCCTATACTTTGCACTCCTATAGTTCTTTTGTATAGTTTGCTGTTGTAACTTTCTGACCCCCCCCAACTGGACAGTGAAAAAAAGCTTTACAGCTCATCGGATTTCTCCAGGACAAATAAAGATTCCGATTCGGATCCTCAAATACATGCTTTACACTTTATCTCCCTGGTTGAATACGACTGAAACCTGAACCGTCGGGGGCATTAACGAACATTCCACACTGTCTCTCCCAGGCCTTCCTATCCTTCGCAGTTTCACGCGAGCATGCCGACGCCTCCGCGAAGCGCTCGGCCCCGCAACGACACCACTCCGCAAGGTCCGCGCAAAAAATGCGCAAAAGCAGGGGAGGGCCCGTCGTTGTTTCGGCGTTATCTGCCGGCATGCGCGTCGTCGTCGTGGGACACGACAAAGCCATTTTGCAAGCGCGCACCGCTCAGCAGATTCCGCCCCCGATAACCGGGCCCCCGCGCGTGTGTGTGTGTGTGAACGCTTTCCCCCAAAGTGGTTTTCCCACGTGGCAAATTGCTTCTGCCCAGCCTGTCCCAGTCGCTCGCTCGCCCACCCGCCCGCCCAGTCACCCCATCCATCCGCTTGAGATCGTTTTACTGTCCCCGGGACGACGCTTTGAATGTGAAAGCAGACCACGTGCTTTGTTGCATGCGGATGTGGATTACTGAAGCGCAAGCTTTACACGTGGATGATGGAACACAAGCTTCTTGAATGATGTAGTTTGATCAGAGCTTTGATATTAATGCAATCTAATGCGTTCTCATTTCGCCGTTCGGGTCTTGATGCTGGAGCAGTTTGTTTTTGGCAAATCCCATCGTGTATGTACTCGTAGCGTTTTTGTTCCCTTGTCTGGCCCGCTTCCATTTTAACGTACGCTCGAAGAATTTCCACACTACGCGTT